AAAGTTCTCAACTGGGTCATTTGCCAACAATAAGTCAAGTCCTAACTATTAGTTTCCCATAAGGCTGAGCCTTCCCCAGAATGCCCCTGTTTATAAATGTGTTCCCATTCCTAAAAGGAAATTTAAAGTTAAAAAAAGAATTTCTCATATTCATAACTAAAAAAATCTTTATTTATTTTAAAAAAAGTGGTAAGGACAATAACCCAATAATAAAATAACCAATGAATTAAAACTTAGAAAACAATTATAATAATTAAAACTTTGCCTTTTAGTAATTTTTAAGATTTTTGTTTATGGATAGTGATAATAATAAAAATACATAGGAGATAAAAATTACATATGGAATTTATAAAATGATGTTTAATTATGAATATGAATAATAAATTTCAAAATTTTTAATTTAACTAAAAAACAATGCTTTTTTAAATTTAAAAATAAATAATAAAACAATATCAATTCTTAAGCATGTATATTTTAAATCAACGCATAAAAATTTTTAAATAAACAATTCATTCTAAGATATTTCATAAGTTACCCTCATGGTCATGAAATATATTATTCAAAAATTTTAATAAATTATAAATTCAATTCTGAAAACAATTTATTCAATGGATATAAGACTTGTGGGCCGACGAAATTATCGGCGGCCGGTGCGAATTTCAAATATCTAAACGGCGTCTTAGCAGCCGTTAACATAGGTTAAGTAAATTGGCGCACCGTTATAAATTTTTTATAACGTATATATTTTTTTAAATATACACTACACTATAGCTAGTGTTGTTAAACGGCTCGATTTGAGCTAATTATTAAAAACGGCTAACTTAATATTTTAGCCATGTAAATATTACTCAAGTCTCGAGATTTTTCCAATAGATTTCCAAACCTTTGTGCAATCTATGCTCAAAATTTTCAGGCTTGTGTAATAATTTTCTGTAAAAAAAATGAGATAGCCATTTTTAAAAATGGACTCAAATCGAGCCGTTTAACAACACTAACCACAGCTATCCCGGCATATTTTTAGATCTTTATTGAAGAGAAAACTCATCATAAATTCAAAATCGATTTGGTAATTTTATAATATAAAAATAATCAATTTTATAAAATAAAAATAATGAATTTTATAAAAAATTTCCGAACATAATGATAATCTCATTGAATTCAACGTTTACCCACGGTATAGAAAACTCTTTCACAAGTGTACTACACAAAGAATTTTTTTAGCTAGCGTAAGAAGATTAGGAAGTTCGATTATCTTTTCTCTCCAGAAATTTAGGACATACAATATCTTGTGAATGGCGTTTTCCGAGAAGGATATAGCATTCTTGTTCAAAATCACTTATAGTGGAATCACAATTTGTAATTGATGAATGTTGTTGCTAATTTTGTCAAATAATTTGAATTTAACATTTCGTCTTGATTTCAAACTTTATATTCACTGCTCTAATATTATATTCTATACGTTTAAGACGTTTTATAATAAATTCCGACGCTGTGAAATTTTTTTCATACAAATTGACATATTTTTTAAACTTTGAGTATTGAAGGGAAGCCATATTGATTATTTTTGAAATAAAAAATAAATGAACATACTTATATATTATGATTTGCAGTTGACGAACCGTAAATCGTAACGCAATTTTTAGTATATTTTCCTTTAGGGAAGTTATCATTATCATTTACTATTAAATTTGTTTTAACTTCTAAAAAGTGATGCCAAGTTTATGAAAGGCCTTTTTGTATAGATAGAAATTCAACTCTTTCTTTAAATTTTGAAAGAAAATCTAATAGTTCTTCTACTAGATCTGATTCATTTTTGAGATAGTGTTTCCCCAATGAAACCGTTATTGATTAAATTTTTATTTGCTCTAGATATACTTTCTAATATAATTAATGTACTATGACATTTAGTTTGGGGATTTAGTATTAACTTTCTCATGTGTGTGGCAATATTGTTATTATAATCACTGGAATCGCCAATTAGAAACAGAATATCAATATCTAGCATATCTGATTTTAGTATTGTACTTAAGCATTTTCTTTGATCTGCCTCGAACTCAAATTCAATCTCTGCAGCTTAGAGCAGTAATAATTTCTCCTATTAAAAATAATTTCGGGTTCGGACCTAATATTTTTAATAAAATTAGGGCTGGGTTGGGCTTATATGATCTCATTAAATTTTGGGAAACAAATTGATTTATTTATATATTAAGAAACAAGGCGCTAATATTTTTTTACAATAAAATAAAATAATTAAATAAATTCGGGCCGGGCTGGGCTCACAAATAATCTTTATTTTTATTTCGGGTAAGGCTTTTTGGGACAAATGAAAAAAATTCTTCAGGTTTGGCAGGGCAGGGCAAATTTTTTAAAAAAAATCTCGGGCAGGGTAGCTTTTGAAAAACCTGATGTAGATTACTAAATAAGATATTTCAGCAATAGGTACCATTCACTGTAATCATATTATGTAAAGCATGACCCAAGCATAAATGGTCTTCATATTCTTCTAATCAAATACATTTTCTAACATTGAGTCTATTTTAAAAATATTTAAAATTGTGGTAACTTTTGGAATTTTAAACATTTGATTGATTGAATTCTAAAATGATGTCAAAATAATTATGATGTTAAAATAGGTATAAAATAAGAATTCATCTTAATCTTGATTGACATAAAAAAAATACAACAGTGATGTTGACCAAATATTAGAATAAAAATGCATAAAATATGGAAATCATTTTAAAAAATTTTTAGCGATCGGTGGTGTAGCGTCATGATTTTGTTAAAGGCGGCATTTTGGGCATGGCTAGACCTATCGGCGCACAGGTCTAAATATAAGCAATTAAAGTTAATATCAATTAATTGACAATTAGAGTGATTTTGCTTAAATGAAAACAAAAATTTGTCAATATATACTAATAAATAACAATAGAACAATATAACAATTAAGTATTTAAATTAGAGTTCTGAATGGCCCAAGTTGGGCTGGGCTATGCCCTAAAAAAATTAGCTTAAGCTAGGCATGGACTACATAATTCCAAAGTTTGGCCAGGTTGGGACTAAGCATATAAAAAATAGAATAGCAAATATTTTCACTTCTTTTAACAAATCCCTCTGAAATTAGGAAATAGTAATTAATAATTTTTATTTTATTTAACGATTTCTTAATATATATTATGGCCAAAAATTAAAATATGAGTCTATAATTTAAAATAGATCACTGGAATATTAAAAAATAAATAATTCTTTATATTAGTGCTGTAAAAGTTACTTCTACACTGAAACGCATTACTCGTTATGTCTGAAAAAGCAAGAAGTTACCGTTACTCGTTACCATGTGAAAAAAGGAACGTGCATTACTGGCTATTCAAAAAAGTAACGGATTACTAGTTACTTAAAAAATTACATATTATATTTTTAAAAAAATTTCCCCCAATATATATTTGATATAAATAAAATTATGCAAATTAATATATAAGATATCCAATATATATATGATATAAATAAAATTATGCAAAAAATATTATATAAGATATCCTTTTGTAATAATTTTTTAATACACATTCAACTGGCGCAGAGGATGGGAGGGTTGTTTTATATTTGATAAATATAATTAGAGGGATTTATTAATAATCAAAAAATAATCTTTATTTTGAAAAAAATTAATTTCAAAAGAATTTCATTCATAACCTTATTCAATCTTTTTAATATTTATCAGAAAATAATCTGTACATGTGTTGTTTTTTAAAGGAACATGTCAGCTTTTTCTTTGTCAAGATCTTTTCTCAAAAAGGAAATAAATTCAAGCTTCCTTCCTTGACATCTAATTTTACCAGGGCCAGACTCATTTAAATAATGGGTGAACTATTGCTGATAATATATATCCATTTATAGATGTGTTGGCATCTATTGAAATAAAATATTATCAAAATATAAATTTTAATATTTCAACTGTCTTGCAGGATTGCATAAATAAGTGGCTTATAAAATGAAATTATTTAAAGCCATAATTTAAAATATTATAATAGCTATCGTGGGAGTGAGATTTCCCAAATGCATTCTTTTCTCTCTAACTCTAAATAAAAAGAGAAGAAAATGTTCCATAACCTATAAAACCATATATAGCCTACAATATACATCAATAAGTGACTTGTCATTATCTGAAGATCCCTGAAATTTGAATTTACCACAAGATTCATAAAATTTAAGGCCATTCTTCTTAATAAGACTATCTATTAATTTCACATAGTTATAGAAAGAGTGTTTTTATACCAGTTTAATCAGATATCTTCCTATTTTTTCCTTAAAAATGGCTGCACAGTTTGGAAGATGCCCATGTTTATTCCAGAATTTGGGCTAAAATATTTGAGTTGGGACACAATTTACACTTACAAAGTCTAAACTTTCTACCCTTAGTTTTCTTTATTAGATAAAATGTTTCAAACTAGAGCCACTGCAGGCTTAACTCATCTTCATCTGAAGAAAATGTACAATTGATATAATATTATTTATAAAAAATATCATAATATAATAATATTAGAGAATAAGAATATTAATTAATATACATTGATTGATTCAATATTAATTATAACAAGCTTGACTGAAATTTAACAACAAAAATTTTAAATAAAAATGAAGGAATTATGGTTGATGTGAATTAATAACTTGGCTTAAATTATTCATAAAATTTAAAAATAAATAAAAATAATTTTATAAAATAATAAAATATGTTTTTTCATATCTTTTAAGAAAAAATTCAAAGTAAGAAATAAAAATTTGTGTTACAATTACTCAAAAAAGAAATGTGTTACTGTTACTCATTACATCTAGAAGAAGGTAATGAATGTCACTCCATTTCTTCAAAAAAGGTAATGCCATTAGTAACGAAGTTACTTTTTTGATGTTAATCCATAGCACTACTTTATATATATATTCAAATATAATTCTATGATATAATGTAGTTTTTTAAATAAGTAAAAAATATATTTAAATAAAAATATTACTCATAACGAGAATTGCATTTTTTGTGTAACCAATTAGAAACTTTATTCCAAAAATTACAGTCAGGTTTATATGGTTCTAGATAAGTTCTAACAACTGTGTCATTTTTTATTTCTTCATATCTGTAAAAAAAATTCATTTATAAAAAAAAGGTATTAATATTAAATATAATTATTTAATTATAATTTTTCTAAATTTCTGTGTTAATATTTAGATAATTTTAAAAAAAACATATAACCTTTCTTGATAAGGGCATATTTTTTGATTTGAATATAGTATAGAGCAAGTACATGATAATAGGATGATAAATGATAATGAATAACACAGAAAAAATTTCATTCAAAGATTTGAGGTTATTTTTTATAAACACACCTTTACATTTGAAAATTTAGATAGATGATCTTGATTTCTAGTATGTTAACAATGCTAAACTACGACCCTATTAAATAAATATTTTTTTTAGTGTTTAGATATTTTAGTCAAAATAATGCTTCATATATTGTTCACAACATTCTTAGTGAGCAAATATCTAACTTGAATGCAGAAGCTGGGTAATGAAGGGAGGAGGTGGGAGAAGACAAAAATTTTGCCTCCAAATTATTTGAAGGGGGTAGGTAGGTGGTAGGCTAGGTCAGGGTAAATTGTGGGGGAGGGGGGGGGTGGGGTTATCAATTACAATTCTTTATAAAATAGGACAAAATATATTGCTGCAATAGCTAAATTTTATTAAATCATATATATTTCAATAAATATAACTCTACCCGTCTGCGCCAAAATGATCCCCAATTGACAGCTCACTATTTATTTTACTTGATCTCTTAATCCACCCAACGTCAAAGAAAATCATCGATTTTTTTATATATATTTGCAATTTACCAAAGATAAATAATTTTTCATCAAAACTAGTTTCCTTATTTTTGTTTCTTCTATAAGTAGTCGTATGTGATGAATGTAAACCACTTATAATTAATGAAACTTTTATTTATTATATAAATTTTAAACAAAACAACTATGAATGAAATAATAACTAAAAATTTGTTAAATTAAAAAATTATAAGAATTTTAATAAAATTATAAGTTAACAAAATTAAATAGTAAAAAATATCTAATAGTTCCTATTAAAATCCATGTTCCTATGCTAGTAACGTTAAATGGCTCGATTTGATTTTTTTAAAACGGTTAACTCAATATTTTAGCCAGAAAAATATTACTTAAGCCTTGAGATTTCGTTAATATGAGTCCAAACCTGTGTATTATCCTGAGCAAAATCTTCAGGCTTACATATACATATTTCTGGATAAAATATTTAGTTAGCAATTTATAAAAATCGGGTTAAATAGAGTCGTTTATCAACTCTATCCTATGCTTTAATGATCTTATAATTCCTTAATATTATATTTTTTTAACCAACGGTTGATTTTCAGTGATGGCTATCTCTTGTATTCTATTCGTAGCGTCTAACGAATGCTTGTACATGTAGATTGATTTCTCTTCCAACTTTGATTTTTTCTAATTCCAGCTTATTAATCAATTTATCCAAGAGGATATTGCTCGTTTCTAAGGGAGATGATAGTCGTACACCATACGCCTATTAGCAAGGGAAATTTTTTCCTTGCTCAATACGCCATTCCGAATCGATAGAATTTTATAAAGATGTTAATAACGAGTCAAAATATATACATTCACAAATTTAATCAGCAGTCAAGTAAATTTTAATTTTTCTTATATCTTATTTCCACAAAATTGATGATTCTTGGATATGATTGTTATCATTATGATAAGATGATCGCGTTAGTATTAATTGAATATATATAATAAGTATAATAACATAATGCATAATTTAAGATATCTATATGGAGAGGATAAAAACATCAACTACACGGATATCAACTTTCCCGATAAAAATATTCTAGTAATATCATATTTAAACAAATGAAAGAAAATTTAATTATGCCATATACCAACATGAGTGTTACAATATATAATTTATATTAGTGATCTGCATCGGGCCTAATATTTCAAGCCCGACCCAGCCCCAAAATTATAAGAAAAATTTGCCCTACCCTGCCTAATCCATGGCTAAATATTTTATTGGTCCGGAAAAGCCCGATCCGAAATAAAAATTATCTGTCCTCCCGGCCCGAATTTATTTAAATAGAGAAAAATTTGTATTTTTTTTTATTGTAGAAAAAATATTCTAAATAAAATATATTAACGCTTTGTTTATTTTACTAAAATTTTAAAATATAATTTATCTGACAAAATTTAATGATATCATATTCAAAAAATTAGGCCCTACCTGGCCTTGCACAAAATTTCTAGAAAATATTACCCCCGACCTAGCATTAACCAAAAGTATTCTAACGTTCGGGTCGGGATGTGCAAATCAGTAATTTATATTGCATATAATAACTTCCCCAAGTTAAATTTTGGTAATACACATATTCTAATTTATTTTTTTGAAAAAATCTATACAGCTTATTATTTTTATCATAAATTTACAAATTTTCTTTAAATACTTAGCTAATGTATAACAAAAGTTCTTAATATACTTACTACTAAAAATGTTTAAAAATTTACTGATTTTGGAATAGCACCTATGTCTTCTTATATATTAACAAAAGAATTATAAATTTGGTTTATACTGCATAGTTATTTATTAGTTTAGAATTGGGTAATATATATTTTTAATTGAAAATTTTTAAGTTTTGGAGATAAAATTTTGAATTTTAACTTTAGCTAGAATTTAAGTGCTGTTGTAAAAATGTGACATTTCAAAAAAATCAGAAAAATTATAAGCATTGAAATTTAATTACAATTTTAATGTTTTTCCTAAAAGTATTCATAAATACAAAATAATTTAAAATCAATGTTTGAATCTAACCAAGTAAAAGAAAGTGTCTTTCGGGAATGACCCAGATTGTTTTGTGAAAGGCTCAGGTAAAATGAGAGCTGTTTTAGAAATTAATTTTTTTAATTTAAACAAGTTTCCACTCTTTGTGTATCCTAAAGATTTATATGATAATTTAGCCAAAAATGATGAAACAAAAATATGGTTTCCTAGTTTAAAATGTGTTTAAGCTGGGTTAAACAGAAATAAGTTTCAAAAATAATAGGAGCCAGGACATAGTTTTAAACATATTTAAAATAGTAAATATAAAACCTACTAAAACCAGGGTATATCTAACAGAAATGATTTATTATTTTGCTCTTCATATTATAATTTTAAAAAATCATAAAATTACTAATTTTTATTTATGTTAAAAAACCCTATTTTGTTCAATAAAACATAGTCCAACCAAAAATGTATATTTTTTAGGTTCATTTAAGAATATATAGATATCAATATTACATCTATGTTAATTATATTATTAAATAAATGTGTATAAAGATCATATTCTGTAATCATAATATAATAGTATTCTCTCTACCATTGATATAAAAAATCGAAAGAAAAAAAATCTCAAAATAAAACCTCTACAATATAAATATAATATAAGAATTTTTAGTATATAATGAATTTTAATTATATAGGTGAAATCATATTTGGTTGATTAGACAAAAGGCCTAATTCAAAATTATAATGCATTTATTAATATGCCATTAATAAACATTTTATACGAAATTATGTAATTAAAAAACATGAAAATTTAGCACCATCAAGTGCATTTCAGTGGATACATATTATAAAAAGCATGCATTTCGTGAGCAATCAAATTTAAGCCTAAAAAACCGTTAAAATTATTAAAGTTATAAACCGCAATATTTTAGCCAAAATGATATTATGCAAGCCTGGAGGCTTTGCTCGCAAGTGGTAGAAAGATCTCCATTTGCCAAATCTCGAGGCTTACATAATATTATTTTAGCTAAAATTTTATTCGGGCCCCTTAACAACACCAGTTATGAGCGATAAATCAAGATTATCATTTTTTTTATTTATAAAAAATTTAAATTATTTGATAAAAATAGTGTTTACATGTAATGAAAAAAAAGATCCATGTAAAATATTATACAAATTTTACAAAAAAATTAAATTATTCGATAAAACAGTGTTTACGTGTAATGAAAAAAAAAAGGATTTGTGTAAAATATTATACAAATTTTACAATAAGTAATATTTCACCTATTTTTAAAAAGGAATGGTTTTTTCATTTGGTTGTGCCGATTGGCTTTTTAATAGCTTTTCCGTAAAATGTGTCCAGCATAAGTCCGATGAAAACGAGTGTGGTGCCCCACCATTGCCTGCTATTCATCGGATTACCGAATAAGATGACGGATGCGAGAATGGTGAAAAATTTTCTGGTGGTTGTGACGAGTGAGCATGTCAGAGGACCGAAATCAGTTACTGTTACGAATATGAAATGCTTAAGGGAATTTTTTTTAATAGTATGTATATTTGTAATATAATTGGTTTAAATAGCAAACATAAATACTGATTATTACCTGTAACCCAAAACCCAGGCTTTAAAATCAATTTTTGAAATCTAAGCTAGGCAATGACAAAAAAATTAATCGATAAAACACACCCACAATGTTCGGTCGATGTAAAGTTATAAAATAACTCCTTATGTACGATGACTGATTCACAATTTCGCAGTCATTGTACTATAATGGACGATATAGGAAAGCACTTGGACATTTTAAATATGAAAGAAAAATGGGATATTATTAATATTTTATCAATGAAAAGTAGTAACTTTCCAAAGTTGCAACCTATTATGAATGTCAAGTTTAAACATATATTGCTGTCAGAATTTCATAGGTAAAATTTTATAATATCCATTTTCTCTTTATATTTGGTAGCCACAATTCTATTATCTAAAACTCCCATTAACTGTATATATTTCCCATGGAAAACCTACATCATCAACGAATAGTTGACTAAGCCAAAATATTGCCTTTAAAAAATCGTGTTTTTTAATCCTCTCTTTCCTAGTTTATAATTACTCCTTTTTTTAAAAGAATCAAAATTTGCTAGAAAAAGCAAATTTGTTTTTTAATATGTCAGCCTGCCAAATTCCATCTCCATGTTCATAGTCATAAACACTTTTGGAATGTTGGTACTGAGGCACTTGCACTCATCAAAATTTTAGATAGAAAGAGAACCAGATATGCAAAAATCCTAAAAGAGCATTCTACCTTCATCAAAAGATATTCCTTGAAATCTCCAAACTTTTAAGCAGATACTCTTCTTATGGTTACATTAACTTACCCTTTCTCGAATCCTTTTCTCTCCCTATTTTTGTATATGTCGCATTGGGATATAAAAATTTAATGGAATTCGAAATCTCTCAATTTTAAATCATTTAACTGAAGTAATTTTTTAAAATTTAAAAAATCGGTTTTGAGCGGAAATGAATACCAACAGGAATAGGGTATTTACATTATGAATTTGACAGTTTTGTCTATAAATATTAAAATATTTTAAATTTATATTCATTTTTATATAAATTATTCATATAAATTATTTTAAAAAAAATACACACAAGTTTATGACGAAAATTGTCTGAAATTTATAGGGTAGGTAGTCTAGAGATGCTGGAATTCATTTCCAAAATCCAAATTTTAAAATGGCCATCAATAAATGATATAAAATAGCGAGACTCAGAATCCTGATGGATTACATGTCTTAATATGACATATATTTTCTAAAAATTCAATTCATGTTCATGATATATTTTTTTTTATCTTTGTCTAAAAAACTATTTAACAAATAAAATAAATCTGAAATAAAAGAAGAAAAACATGTATGAATAGATTATATTAAAAAAAATAATGAATTTTAAGATATTCCATATATTTACTTGTCCGAGGGCACTTGTTATACCAAAAACCAAAAAGTCCAACAAAACTTTTGGATGTCTGTGTATGAACGACACAAATTTGGGGCCTTCACCAGTCAAAAAGATACCTAATAAAGAAATAAAACAAAAAAATTAATTTATATATTATTCATTCATTGTTTTTCTTTAAATGATGAAGCTAATTAAGGGATTGGGAGGGTGTTAATAAATTAATAACATTTTTCTTTAAATCATTTATAAAACTTCAACATGTTGTGATTTTGAGTATTGAAGCAGGCGCGTAGCCAGGAATTTTCTACAGGGATCGAAGGGAGGGGGGGGGAGGGGGGGGTTTTTTATATTGAAATAATTTTTTTTTAGAGTTTTAAAAATTTATTAGAATTAATTATCATATAAAATTTATTAGAACCAATCATATTTGAGAATATGATAATTTCGAACACAAATAATAAAATATTGGAAAATTCAAAATATTAAGAGCGAATATCATAAGATTAAAAAAATATTATAGCTATATAAAACGGTATATGTAAATCACAATAAAATATAAAATTAAATATTTCATGATGATTTGAAAGGTTAATCAAATAATCATTCATAAATGAAAATTCGTCTTTACGATTGCGCCAATTTTTTAATAATTTGTTCTGTGTTGTAAATTAGATCTTAATAAGTAATGCTAGCCTATTCAATCAATTTTAAGATGCCATACTTTTGATAGGCTTTTATTCTCTATGAAGAAAAGGTCCTCTCATTTGTGCTTGTACTAATTGGTATCATTGCCAAAATATACAGTAATTTTAATATATTTGGAAAAATTAAAAAAATATATTTTAAAGTATGCAATGCTTCCAGTGTATTTCTTTATCTACAAAAATGAATCTTTCATACCATTTAAATTCTGAAATTAATTGTTATTCAGATACATTTATATCCTGGGAAAAAAATTTAGCTAAATATTTAATTATTAAATATCAAGATTTGAAAAAAATTTCTGAACAGAGGAAGTTATAAGATAATAGTATTTGAAAGTTGGATAGTCATTTGATAAATCACAAAGTTTATCTTGAGTCAAAATTAAATCCAAAAATGGAATAAAAACTGTTATTTTATAGTACTAAATTGAGTCTAAATTAATATTGGAACAATTATTTATCAGTGAAAGTAGAGGCTTGTGAATCTCAAAATCATATATTCACTTTCACCTCAACGATCAAATCTCGATAAATTCCTGGTCAAATTATCTCTTGGTTTACTAAGTAGTAATATAATAATATTTGTGATTCTCATACAGCCTATTGCATAAAATTGTTGTGTAATTAATTTATTTTACCCTAATGAAAAATATTCAGATGAAATATCTGTTTCAGGTGATCATATTTCTCCAAGGACATATAAAATAGGTTCTTCTAAATCAAACAATGCTAAAACAGCTTGATGTTGAAGACTCCATCTTGTTGTGCAAGCTTTTTGTAGCACAAGAAGTCTCATAAATAATTATATTCAGCAAATTCTGTCTATTTGGATACCTGAATTCGGTGGAAATTTTTTAATTAGTTATTAATAAAGATAAATTAAATATATTTTTTTTGGTTTATAAAATTTTCTTATATCCACCATAATTTAGGTTTAAAACATGTAAGAAAATAAATTTAAAATTTTTGTGAGATAAAATATTAAATTATAAATATTTAAATTAATATTAACTTTTTGCTAATTTTCAGAATAGAATATAATGAAATAAAATACTTTGCAGCCCTTTTATATTTTTTAAAAAAATTTTAATATGGCTACACGTAGTGTTAAAAACGGCTAACTCAATATTTTATCCAGAAAAATTATATGCAAGCCTAGAAATTTTGCTCATATATGACACAGGATTGAACATCTATTGGAGAAATCTCAGCGTTTAGGTTATATTTTCCTGACTATAATGTTTAGTTAGCCGTTTTTAAAAATCGGCTCAAATTGAGCCGTTTAACAACACTGCTACACGCCTGGGCCCTGTTATATTTTTCCCAAAAATTTTTGTTATGGGGTGCCCCACCCCCATTGGCTACATGCCTGTATTAACGTATATATTGCATTCTATAAATAAATATGATTGTTTATATAGCCATGCAATAAGTATATTTTCATAAAAATATATTTATCATATTTTTTGAATAAAGACAATAGTTTCAGAGTATTTTTGTTTATGAAAACTGAATGTCAGTTTGACTATCTGATTTATTTTAATTGAACACTAAATTTATATGAATACAAGATGTGATATAATGATAATATATATTTTTTAAATAATAACCTAATGTATTTATTTTGAGCAGTTCAATGCCTTCATTTATCAGATAACTCTTATTTAAATCAGAAAACTGTTAACAACTTAAATTTTATATTATTATTTTGCACCCTGAACCTGCTAAGGTTTCAAAAAATTAAATATTCTTATATCAGGTCAAGCATAGATTTTAAAATTTTTAGGATATATAAATCAGTTATTTTGGTTACATTTTTACAGTTTAAGATAAAGGCTATATTAAATCCACCCTGTGTTTTTCAACTGGTTAATATATTATACTATATAAATTAATTGTATAAATTTAATTATAAAAATATAGCCAAGTCTGACCCAGGTTTTAAAAAAAACAAATTTTGGGATGGCTCAAAGGCTTGATAAAAAATATTTTAAGTGTTAATATGTCAATAAAACTAGAATAATTACATTATAAACCTATTTTTTTATAGATAAGCATATAAAAAGTATCTATCATATATGGTTCATTTTTTTAATGTCAAATTCATTCAGACATAAATGTCAATGTTAGGTAAAGAAAATATTACAATGATAGAATTAGTCTAATAAAATAAAGAATACTAACCTAATGACATATAAAGCATTGACCATTGATTGAAATGTAGCATCATAGTATGTGGCCTAATTGTGTGATTCCTCATTTTTTCTTGCAAAGCACCAGTAACACCATCCAATAAAAGGGATATAAGCTAAATATTATTTTAAATTACAATTAATAAAAACGACTGACACCTACCAATAATATTTCTCCAAATTTGAGAGCTGTGGAGTCATATGTTCTTGCAGATTTGTTTTTGAATAAAAATAATGTAACTCCCAAAACTATTAACATAACAAATACATATTTCCTAATAGGATATCTTTTTTTTGCTAGAATGACTCCAAGTATCATAACAGGAATTGGTTTAATGGACTTCCCTAAAACCTATTTAATTTTATAATTGGTGTATATTCAGGTATTATAAAACCTGGGTTGGATAATTTACATATTCTAATGCTTTGTTACTTGTTAACATGGCACCTATGTAAGACATTGAGCAAACAGAAAGTAGCCAAGTAGGTGTATTATCTTCTTTTCCACTTTTATTGGTCCACATTAATACTGATTGTTATAATTTATAAAAGTTTAAAATTTATGTTGTACCTGCTTTAGAAAATATTGAATTTACTATACATTGAGCCAATAATAAATTAAACGTATATTCAAACTTTTCTACAAAGCCATTTGTTTCATATTCAGATTTAGTTCTAATAAAAAAAATTAAATAAAAGCATTTTAATGTTAGGTACATTTTTTCTTGAACAATACCATAATAGAAATAGCAAAGAAATATTCCAAGACAGCAAACAATTAACTTAGTAAAAGTATTTTTTTTATCTTCCTTAAATAATTTTTCTTTTTTGTGAGAGAGCAAAGATGCGGTTGGATCTATTGTATCTAAATCATGATTATGTATAACCCCATTTTCATAATCTCCCAATTTTTCATCAATATTATTGAATCTACTCATTGCAGCGTTTCCACGCAAGACTACCATGTGTAAGATTTAATATTTCAGTAGGAATGTAGTAAATAATATATCATATTATAAAAATATAATTTTTCTTAATTTAATAAGAACCCATGGGTGTAATTAAGGTGAGAGGTAGAAAAGCAGGAAAACTCCTAGAAATTTGCCTGTTCTCAAAAATAGCAATTTAAGCTAATAAAAATTTGTCTACCCTACACACTCTCTAACCCCCCCCCCCCTAGATTATTATAAATAAACAATCATTTATAAAAAAAATGAATAAAAGTTTATAATTTTTTAATGATAATTATAGTTCAAAATTTTTAGAAAACAAAAACCAAAAGTTTAAAAGTATAACATAAAACAGGTCTGCAATATATTAATTTAAAGATCTCTAATAAAATTTTCGGTAAAAATTATCCTAATAATGCTTCCGTATTCTTCCCTTCTTGTCCAATTCCTGATTACGTCTATGTAAAATAACGGTAATTGGTTTTAATAATGAGTCAACCAGACCAGAGTTGTGAAAATACTACTTTTAAAAGTAGCACTCTACCGCTACCGCTATTTGCCAAAAAAGTAGCGCGCTACCGCTATCACTACCCATGAAAAAAAAGTAGCGCGCTATTAGCTACTTTTTAAGCTACTTTTTATAAAAAGAAATTAGAAACAAATTTGTTTTATCCTTTGCTTATAATGTAATTGTATAGTAAATAATATATAAAAATTAACAATGATAAATATTTAAATATAGTTAGTTTTGATTATAAAAAAATTTATATAATAAAAATAAATATTTCTGGCAATAGTCATTTTTTCATTTATTTTGTTGCATTTTAATAATAAAATCATTTGAATATTATCATTCGCAAGTCTAGAGCGAAGATCAGAAAGTATAAGTAATCCCTTATCTCTCGACACTATCATTTGAGGGCAAGGCAGTATTTAATTTTATATACATATTTTTAATATAATAAAGATTATCACTAAAAATACTCAAGTATTTTTTAGATTTAAAAAGCGCGTCGAGATGATTTTCTATTATATTATCTTTTATTTCAAAAAAATTATTAATGGAAGTCATTTTTGTGGTTGAAACTAGGCCATCTTTGTTTGGTATGAGACTGTAATATAAATGTAATTGTAAATTGAATTTAAATTGAATATAATATTAACTTTTCGTTTGTAAATTACATAACCTGAAGGATTGAATTCATTATATATATATACGTGATATTTTGTATTAAAGATACTTTTACTTACTTTACTTATTTTACTTATTTAATAAAACACTTTATTGGCGACGATTTTTTTAGAGAAGATTTATTTGATTTATTAAATTTAAAGTAAAAGACTCAATGGAAGTAGCTCCTATTAAAGTTAAAGATTCAATGGAAGTAGTTCCTATTAAAGTTAAAGACTCAATGGAAGTAGTTCCTATTAAATTCCATATTCCAGAATTCGTCAAAGAAAAAGTAAATATTCAGGTATTATAGATTTAAATACAAAAAAAGACCTGCTTTTAGCCTATATCGGAACAGACAATCTTATCAAAATTAAGAACTTTCACTTTCCAATAAATTTAGAGATGATAAATTATGATACTTTAATAAAAAGCTTAAATTTGGTGTTCAAGGATAGTTCGAGCATTTTCGTAAATAGGAAAAAAAATTTTACGTTAAAAAGATGCAGTGAGACGATTATTGACTTTTCAATTAGGTTTAAAACTGTCTGTTCTCTTTGTAATTTTAAACCGCCTTTTGATGAACTTTTAAGAGATATATTTATCCTAGGAGTAGGCTTACCTGAGTTGGACAAAGAACTTCGGTCAAAGTATATCGAAGGCAATATTACTTTTGAAGAGACCGTGCGTTTAGCGATCGCGCTGTCTTCGTTGGAAAATGAAACCCAGACTGAAGTTAATAAAATAATTAAAAATAAGCCAACACAGGGTTCGAAAAATAATTATTTTAGAAATAATAATTATACAAACGTCAATAGATTCAATAATAATAAACACTTTAGTAATAATTATATTCCTAATAATAATTATAGACCTAGTATCAAACCTAACTCTATTCAAAAGAAAGTGATATGCTTTCGTTGCGGTAAGCAAACCACATAGCGAAAGATTGTAGAACCCATGCCATACAAATGATTCTGCCACGGACACCTCGCCTGTCATTTTCAAAGAAAGCAACCATCGATGCAAAGATAAATGGGTTGCAGCTAGCTATGGAGTTTGATACCGGCGCCGCGTGTAATGTGATTGATGAGGTCACCTGGAATCGTATTGGCAGACCACAACTATCACCGGCTTATAAATTAGTGGGATATAATCATATCCAAATCGAAGTACTAGGTAAATGTACCGTAGAAGTCAAAGTAAAAAATATTTCGAAATTTTTACTTATTTGGGTAGTTAAAGGGGAGAATTCCCTTATTTTTGGGATGCCTTTCATTAGAGAATTTGATATAAAACTACCGGAAGAAGTTCGTATTAATAAAATAAATATGAATGTTCCCTCTTTAAATACGATTGCTTCAAAATTCCCTTAAGTTTTTAAAAAAAAATTCGGTGAAATCAAACTGCAAAAGGCAGTCATCCGAATAGAACCGAACACGTTACCGATTGCATTACCAGCAAGAAGAGTTCCTTTTCCGTTGCGTCGAACCATTGAAGCTGAGTTGGACAGACTTTTAGACGAAGGCGTTATCGAGAAGGTGGATCCAACAATAACTCCAATCACTTGGGCTACGCCAACGGTTAATATCTTAAAGAAATCCGGTGCCGTACGGATATGCGGAGATTTTCGTTTAACAATCAACAAATATCTAGCGACCGATAACGATTTACTACCAACTTTCGTCGACCTAACAAATAAGATCGCGGGTGGTAAAATATTTTCAACAATAGATTTAAGAGATGCATTTTTACAATTCGGAGTTAGTCCAGAATGTAGGGACCTTTTAATAATTTCGACACATGTCGGTTATTACCGACACCAAAGAATTCCATTTGGTTTGACTAGCGCTCTGATAATATTCCAACGCTTTATGAAAAACCTATTAAAGGGAATTCCTATGGTTAGTGTATTTTTACACGACATAATTATTGCAGGTGAGAATAATTCCGATCACATAGTTAATTTGGAAGAAGTATTAAGAAGATTTGAGAAGGCTGGACTGACCACGACGACGGATAAAATTAAAATCGGAGAAAAGTCAGTCACTTATTTAGGTCATGTTATTGACAGTTTCGGAATTCACCCTACAGAAGATAAGATTAGCGCTTTAAAAAATTTTAAAACACCTTCCAATGTTAAAGAACTACGTTCATTTCTTGGAATAGTGAATTATCATGAGGCATTTATTAAAAATTTGCATTCTATTTGTGCGCCTTTACACCGACTAACGAGTAAAAATGTTGGTTGGTTTTGGTCAGCTAAAGAAAATGAAATATTTACTAAAGTTAAAAATATATTGTCAAAAGAAGATACAATAATTCTTTATTCAGCCGATATCCCTGTCTTGATTTCTTGTGACGCTTCCGAAGATGGTCTAGGAGCTGTTATTGCACACCGATTTCTTACTGGCCAGGAGAAACCGATTGCTTACGCATCGAGGACACTTTCGGCGGCTGAAAAGAATTATGCCACAATTGATCGGGAGGCTTCGGCGATCATGTTCGCTATCGAGAAGTTTCATCAATATATTTTTGGAAGACATTTTATCTTGGTTACTGATCATAAACCATTACAATATATTTTAGGTGATAAAAGAGATCTTAACAAAATAACAAATAACCGTTTAATACGGTGGGCGACGAAGTTATTAAATTATGATTATGAGATAATATATAGACCAGGTAATCAAAACAAATGTGCCGATGCTCTGTCCCGTTTGGGGGTAGAGAGAGCAAAAACCAATGAAGTTACAAATAAATTCGAAGGAGAAATCAGAGGATTAAAAATTAATTTAATAGAAGATTTATCTTTCACTCGCAGTAAAGTCGTAAGTGAAACGAGCAATGATATAAACCTAAAAGAGATTATTAAATTAATAAAAAATCATTGGTATATTGATAATATAAATAATTATTCGGAGATTGTAAAAAAATATATTGCGATTAAAGATAATATTTCGTTCGAAGAAGGATTATTATTTTATAATGATAGAATTATTATTCTAGATATTTTAAAAAAGGAGGTTTTAAATGTGATTCATCGAGGACATCCTGGGATAGTGGGGATGAAATCATTGTGTAGATATTACGTTTTTTGGACAAATCTCGATACTGATGTTGAAGACTTTGTTAAATGTTGTAAGAGTTGTCAAGAAGGAAGGCCGGGAGCTAAAGAAGTGCCATTATACAATTGGAACATTCCTACCCGACCTTGGGAACGAATACACATTGATTTGACAGGCCCCGTATCTGGAAAGTATTGGTTAATTTGCGTAGACGCTTTTACCAAATGGGTTGAAGTTGCAATTTTAACACATATTAATTCGGCGAGTGTAATAAATATTCTGCGTAATTATTTCGCTAGATTTGGGTTACCTCGCTACATTGTCTTAGATAACGGTACTCAGTTTACTGGATCTGAATTCAAAACGTTTCTTTTTAAAAACAATATAAAACATTTTAGATCGGCCCCTTATAGCCCCAAATCGAATGGTTTGGCTGAACGATATATACGGACGATAAAGTCGCGTTTCTATGCTGGAAGGAGATGTGGGACTCCGGACCAGTTAAATTTAGCAAATGTTTTAATTACTCACCGTAATACTCCCAATGCAACTACTGGTAAATCCCCTGCCGAGATGATGTTTGGAAGGTCGCTTAGGACGACATTAGATCAGTGGAAATTATCAACAAGAGAAAGGACGGAAAACGCTCTATGGAAACAAAAGTACTACAAAGATAGAAGTGTTGAACCTCGGGAGTTTGAAGAGCAGCAAAAAGTTTGGATAGCAAACGAAAGGACAGCAGGGTGGCATGAAGGAAAAGTGTTACAAC